CTACAAATCGATTTGTAGGGCTTTTAGACATGAAATTGGTTGCAAAATCGAGTTACCCATTGCATATAACACATGTATGTGTTGAAATTACCTGAAAAAATCGAAGCCCAAGCCCTGAAATTGGTTGAATTCGATGTTTTTCGAAAAAAAAAAAAAATTCTGAAAATTTTGGAATGGGGTGGTTTTGGAGAGAATTTCGAATTTTAGGGGTTTTAGAGAGATAAACTGTTTTTTGCTTTGAACGGTAAATAGCAATAGTTAAACCGTAAAGAGCATTTTCTTTTTGAAACCATTTAACCCGGATTCTTATATTAATACCTTCCACGTAAATCTTCTCGTACATAAGGGTTTACCAGCTCTTTAAAATAAATTTAGCCAAACGAGCCCTAATCTTTTAGCTTTATTTTTTTCTTAAATCTCAAGTCTTAACCATGATGTTTTTACCGATCATTTCTTTCCCTGTTACTCAAGAATGATTTTTTTGCTAAAAATGTTGTTCGAGAGTACAGCGGAATTCAATCGAATTCGAGATTATGAATCAATATGCATAGAAGTTTCTTATTTCAGGAATAATAATTCGAACGAAATCCTTGAAGATTCCAGAATTTTGATGCCATCCTCTTTTCATAGTTGCCTCTTGTACATTTCTGTAGGCACAAAATGTAAAGATGAATCCCTGAAGCAGAAAGGCATGTTCCTCTTCTCCAAATAGCTCCATTGTCACAAAAATAATATATCCCGATATGTCGTTGACCCACATATATTAGATATGTGGTCACGAGACGAAATTTTGTTGAAGGTTTGTATACAAGAAAATAGGAATGTATGTTACGGGCGACATTGATACGAGTGAGGGAACCATCTCGAAAATAAGAAATGTTTTACTTTGAAAACCAATAGGAATATGCCGTAGCACGGTACATGCATTGCTGCTACCACCAAATACCTGGATAAATAGACCAAACAAGTTGTTCAGATAAATCAACGAAAACGAGGAGTAAACGATACATAAAAAAATAAATGTATTATTTTGGAAGGCTTCTTTTGTTTTATATTCATTCTCTTTATAAGTTACAGATGGGGATGGAAATTGGAACGGAATTTTCCGATTTCCGTCGGTTGCAGTCCGAAATTTTCCAGTTTTAGAACAATTTCTTTCATATCGAAATTCTGATTTTTTTTCTGTAATTTTTTGGATTGGTACGAGATTCCAAATCCTGGTCCAATTTTAATTTCCAAAAATTCCGATTAGACTGATTTTGGGCTGATTAACAAATAAGAAACTTACCACAGTGGAGCATGAGGTGCTGACAGATCAAGAAAAGGATATGGCCACCTAAATCAAAAGGCAATGTCCAGTAAATCATCAACAACATTTCTTTCAAATACTAAATAATTCCCATATAAAAAAATAAAAATAAAAATAATAATAATAAAAGTTACCACATTGCAACGCATGCATGAACAATCCACTGGAAGATGACATAGATACCCGTTAAGATGATGAAGTAAGAAATCCCAAACCATTGGAATTCCTGAATTGAATATGTCAAGGTTATTTTAAACCATAGATTATTCATACGGATTACAGAAGAACGTAGGTTATATGCAGTAAGCTCACCAGACTATTTAAAGCTGTATCCCCGAGGAGCAAGATGGCGTTAAGTGTGTGTGTAACAACTGTCAGCTAATCAAGCGAAGCAGAAATATTTTTCTTAAGCTGAAGAGATGATTGAAACTAATAGAAAAATGCAACGACTATATACGTGTGAGCTGAGTATTTCGATTCTTGAGGTGCAATATACCGAAATAATAAAAAAAATGCTGGGGATTTGCAATTTTTCCATTTATTATCTCCCGTTATTTTAACGGTGAGAAGTTATCACAAAATAATAGGTGCCACTGGCAACGAAAAAGCACATAGAATTTGGAGGGGATTTTTTAATCAAACGTAAACATGCAAGATCAGTACTCGTAAATTCAATGTCTGAATTGAAAGAGAAAGTACAAAAGCCACGAAGTAAATCCCCACATAAATCAATCTATATGCCTAATCTTTTACAAAATATGTGCAAGTAAAAATGTTTCTAGCCAGGGGGAAACTAGGATTAAGCATTTTTATGATGCGGTCACAATTGTGAAATCAGAGCCTGCATGCTTGTAAAATGGTAGTCGGGAGAAGTACACTTACAAAATTCATCTCGTAATCTCTAAGTACTATAAATGGGAATATCACACACCAGTAGACCATGTCAGTGATAATTACTGCCCCAGCTGTCATCTGCTCATGAAAAAAGTCTCAACATGATTAAATTCTGGAAGATTTAAAAAACGAGTGTAACCAAACAAATGATGTACATGAACGAGATTGTTGACACAAATATATCTAATAACATGCCTGAAACAAAGCTTGAAACAGATTGTCCCAAAAGCCAGCTGGTAGTAAAGCATGGGATTTTCCAGGGTGATAAAATCTCTCTAATAATTTCACTCCGTTTCCATCCGCTTCACTTGCTATGGGGACGTATAATCCTTGCTCCGTATCCTTTGATATACGGCTGTTATTTATTTTGAGATGGTGGAAACATCCATGCATAGAAAGCAACGATCCAAACTGCAATAGAAATTAAAAATAAAAAAACATAAGATCCAATGAAATAATTTTGATGAGTGAATAGTTTTGTGGTGTGCCTTCAAGAAGTCAGGCAAGTAATAAAAAGCTCAACATAGCAACACCATTGTTATGGACCTAGTTCATCGGTACTTCAGTTAGAACGGAAATTACAAACCTACCCCAAAATAGATGGTCACTAAAGTAAAAGTCCACCTGTAAAACAGTGCATTTAAGAAGTTAAAAAACCAAAAAGAAAAAAAAAAAATTGCAGCTAAAGACAATCAACAAGATGTTACTCATGTAGTGCTAATAAATTTCTTTTTGATAATTCATCTCATCTTTGTTTATTTCATAAGTAGTGCCGATAAATTTATTTTTATCTATGATAATCAGTTGACAACGAGTGTTCATGGTTGTATCAGTTGGTTGAGGTGGGACCAGTTACATATATACAAGGATCTCAAGGGAGAAGAATAACTTACTGGGTATAGTAGTAAAACAGTTCAAATCCATGAATAGCAACATCGAAACTCACAGCAACCAAAAGCAGACAAAAAGCAATCATTCGAAAGAACATCAAGAAAAGAGGATGAACTTCTTTAAGACAAGGTTTCCAGGATTGATTTCTCAAAGAACTAGAATTCTCGTCTTGGTTCCTCCCTTCACCAGATTTTTTTAAATTGTCTGAACGGTCGTATTTCCATATTAGAAACGAAGCAATTACCATAGGTGTCAACACCCATATTGCACACAGAAACACTCTCCAATTCAACCAATAACTCAACGTAGTCGGATCGCCATTCACGAGCAGCTGCATCCTGTTTCAGACACTGAATATCAATGCTCAAACAGTTAATTTAAATGTAATAAATAAATAAATCAAAAAAACTCATAGTTCTTACACACACGAAAATCATATTTAACTTGGCAAGTGGCAACTCAATTTTTCCCCTAATTGCAGCATTCACACAAATAAAGCGAGCTAACAATCGCAATACAGACACATATCAATTCAACTCCCGCAACAACAAATAATCAGTCACGCATAAAAACAAACATCTGGCGGGCATGAATCAAAATCATACGCATTATGACCAACGGTGACAATTCGAAATCAACTAAAATTGCAGAACAAGAGCCACTTACACGATCGAAACGGAGGATGCCGAAAATGAAGAAAAAATTAATTTAGTAAGAGAGATAAAATTAAATTGGAAACGAAGAATTTCTGGAAAATTTGGGGTTTGATAGAATGAGAAGAGGAGACTGCTCTATTCGAGTTTGTTCCTTTCCATAGTAGAATTGTATACCGCAACACGTGCTGTGCATCTAATGGAGATCATTATTTTCATATTTATATATATATATTATTTCTGCAATTATATATAATATGATTGGTTGGTTGATCACTTTTCATTCGGAGAAAATTATATAATATTCTTATTATCCAATTACATTTTTTCTTTTAATTCCGAAATTCTATTTTATGTTTAGATTTAGGGTAAACTACAACCACCCCTGAGGTATAGTCAAATTACGAAAACCCCCTCTTGTTTGGAACCACCCTCTCAACTCATCAAATTTAGTGGAATCTTCGAGATTATATAGAATATTATCACTTTTGTACCCGTTTTATCTTATTCAAATTCTACGTTTTGAAGCAAGATGATCATAATATATGTTTTTTGGCTTGTATATATCAGAATGTGGTGCATCAGAAACTGTTTTTTTACACAAAACGAGTACAAACTAGAGCACATTTCACAGAATCTAAATGATTATATTGAATTTGACACCATAAGGGTGGAGCTGTAAGAAAAAATCATAGTTAAGGGGTAGATGTAATTATCCAAACAAAAGGATTTTTTTGGTAAATTGACCATACCTCGGGGGTGTGCGTAATTTACCCTTAGATTTAATAGAATATGAATTAAAGTATTTTTCAAATTACACCCAATAATATTAATATTAATTACTGAGTCAAACACCCGGTCCAGACTGAGTCCACACTGCCCTCCAAATTCGCACCAACACTAAGAATTTTGCAGTAATAAAGAATTAAGAGTTATTGAGCAAAGAAACTGTTAAATAACTTAAATAATTATTCTCAACACAGCTAAAACTTCAGCTGTAGTAGCAAATACAATAATGTATTGTAAAGTTTCACATGGAGCAGTTAAGTCTTGCAAATGTCAAGTACCCCGTATGCCCTCTCGTCTCACCGTTCCGTCTCGCAATAACCGTTTGAGTTCCGGAAGCTTCTAGATTGTTCCGCTGCCTCTTCTTGCAACCCTTGAGAAACGAAGACGCCCCGTCACTATCTTGCCAGCTACCAAAGTTCCCTTCTCGAACTTCATACGTTTGTAGAAGCACTTCAAATGTTCTTATATCTGAAAAACGCCAACGTTAATAATTATTAAAAAAAAGGGTAAATTACAAACACCCCCCTGAGGTATGGTCAAATTACAAAAACACCCCTCTTGTTTGGATAATTACAACCACCCCTCAACTCCTCAAATTTAGTGGAATCTTCGAGATTATATGGAATATTATCACTTGTGTACCCGTTTTATCCCATTCAAACTCTACATTATGGAGCAAGATGATCATAATATGTGATTTTTAGCTTGTATATATCAGTTTGTGGTGCATCGGAAACTGTATTTTTACACAAAACGAGTACAAACTAGAGCACATTCCACGGAATCTAGATGATTATGTTGAATTTGGCTCAATAAGGGTGGAGGTGTAAGAAAAAATCATAGTTGAGGGGGGTAGATGTAATTATCCAAACAAGAGGGGGATTTTTGTAATTTGACCATACTTGAGGGGGGTGTTTGTAATTTACCCTAAAAAAAAATAAAAAGCTTTTATGTAGAAATAGTAACTGCAATTTACAATCTTGAAACGAAGGTTTACCTGTGAAATATAGTTTTAGTGCTTCGCAAGATTTCTGCACTTGCTCGATACACGGAGAGAACGAACACAAGACACCGTCTTGCTGCAGCATTTTGGCAGCAGAAGGAATAGCTAACCATGGTTGAGGGAGGTCGAGGAAAACGGAATCTGCTTGACCTAATAGTTGATCGGGGAAACCCTCACCTTGAATGTCTCTCACACCAACTGTCACCAAACTGCTCAATCCAGTCCTCTCGAAATCCTCCCTACAGAAATCAAATATTACATATATGCCATCCACCATAAAAAGATACAAAAATAGAGTGTGAAATTAACAACCCTTCACCATGACTATACACTAATTCTGCCCACAAACAGCATATTCCTCTTATTTTTCTCGATTACAAAAAAAAATAGTGTGAATGTCACAACTTTTGAATGGAAAACGAATATTATGTCAAAAGAAATTAAAATAAATCAACAAGGCCTCGTTTGGTTCCTAAGATAAGATTAGATAATCTTAACGAAAACCCAATTGCATTGTTGGACCATGGGAGGTCGAATAAATTATCTCCCCATTATCCGAGATTAGAGCCATTTTTTTTTTCACGATTGCAAGACGACCCCAAAAGTTATTGGACTAACCAAACATCCGATAATCTTACCAACCGACCGAGGACTAAATTGACAAAAATATCTCATAAATTATAATTGTACAATACATTCTATTAACATTCATACACATTAACTCAATGACCAAAATTCAACCCCAACACAACTCAAAATCCAACAACAGCTTAAAGCATACTCACCTAGCCGATGCAGCTCTCTGTTCATGGAAATCAAACGTATGCACGTGCCCAGTCGGAGCAACTGCACGTGCAAGCGAAGTAGTGAGGGACCCACTTCCGGTGCCCGATTCTAGTACCACACACCCCGGAACTAACTCCAAATACATAACAACGAAACTAATATCCGCAATGTATAAAATCTGTGTCCTGTGGCTTAAAACCAGAGTCCAAAGCTCAGGAGTTGGAGCTAACAAGTAAATAAATCCACCCTTACTACTGAACGCCTTCGAGCCGAACTGTTTACCGATCCAATCGGAATGCTTAAACATACCGAAACGGTTCTGCAGAACCCCTTTTTCGGAAACTTTTATCGGCTTCATTGTATCGTATCTCTCGTATACGATAACCAAATCTCCGTCTGCTATGCGGCGATTGAAGGATAGCTTCTTGGTGGGATCAATTGGCAACATTGTTGGTGGTTTAAGCAAATTATCAAACAGGTTGTCTGCATTATAGTTTGAATAAAAAAAAGAATCAATAACAGTAAATCACCGGAGAATTGAAAAACAATAGACGTAAATAAACTAATTATTACCAACATGTACATAATTAAGGCAAAAATAGAAGCGAATACTAACCTGTGAGTTCAGAGAATCGGCAACGGAGTTAGCAGGCAGAAGCGGCGATGTATGAAGGATTGAAGAAAAGAGTTAAACTTTGTTCCTGAAATCTTAGAATTTGGGTGTTAGGGTTTTGCTTTAAATTATTACACGATAATAATAATAATGTAATACGAATATTACGAGGTAGTTTGAATTAAAACAATCTATTCAACGAAAAGCTAAATTTAATACGTTTAATAAAAAGGGAAATAAATAAATAAATTATTTGTAGGTTTAAAATTAGTGGTAAGCAAATTTGGACAATTTGTCACACTATTCAAAAGAATAGGTGCACTAATTTTTTTTTAAAAAGTATAATCAAATAGCATAATTAACCCTAAATATTAAAACTTGCAAACTATATTTTAATCCTCCATTTAAATTGAAGAATTCAAAATTAAAAATTTCAATTAGAAAAAATAGTAACGATAATGAATTTCCTCAAATAATAATTGAACTATTTATATAATAAATCAATTTAATTATGGGCCTGAAATATCAACTTGAGTTTTGGCTCATATTTTGATGCCATACTTTGAATTATGAGTTTTGGGCTCATCATATTTTTAGCCCAAGTTCATCAAATAACTTGGGGTAAATTACAATCACATCCCTGAAGTATGGTGTAATTATGCAAAACCCCCTACTTTTTGCAAAATTACATTCACCCCTCTAAAGAAATCAGTAGAAAGCAAATCAACCACAACTTTTAACTTAAAATATATATCTTCAATATTAAGTCAATAACTACTTAATTAACCATGTTTAAAAAATCCAACAGCATACGTAAAGCAGCATGAAACTGATCTGTGTCTGAAACAAACAAAACAAATAAATATACGAAAAAAAGAACGTAAAGTACTCGATCGATCACATATAATACTCGTTATAATTGGACAGCATTTCCATGAAATCCATCTCTTTCACCAAATCGAACTGCGTCGCCACGTGCATTTGAGCCGCCGTTTCCATCGAAGTACTTATCGGCATTAATACTTTGAAGCTCTCCTCGGCTGCTGCAGCATTATTAATAATGGCGGACGCATTCTCAAATTTCATCGCCTTCGAGCAAATATTATCGACTGGTTTAGGGTTCACCATACCATCCGGTGAGGCCGAGACTGAGACCGAGGAGGATGAGGAGGAAATGTCGAGATTGCCCTTGTCATCTGAAGTAGTATTGGTAGCAATGACTGTCTTGATGTAGTTTTGCAAGGGGCTGTTTGTCTTGGAATTGCTGTTTTTGCGGGACGAAAGTTGTCTTCTCTTCGTTGCGTTCCAATGGTTCTTGATTGTGTTCTCACTCCTTCCCGGCAAGCTTCGCGCGATTTCCGCCCATTTATTTCCGAGTTGTCGGTGCGCTTCAATCAATATACTGTCTTCTTCCTCCGACCATCGATCTTTCTACAAAAACGCCGTATATATACACATCATATACATGAGAGAGAGAGAGAGAGAGAGAGAGAGAGAGAGAGAGAGAGAGAGAGAGAGAGAGAGAGAGAGAGAGAGAGAGAGAGAGAGAGAGAGAGAGACTTGTATCTTTGTATTTCTCCAAAATAATTAATTTTATTGGGTATATTATTATTTTCTCAACGTATAGTAATAACATGTAGCAAAATACTTGTGATCAATATAATTATGGGATTTATATAATTTAATTATGGATCAATAAAAAAAAAAGCAATTCAAAACAAAATAAGCATAGAATAAGAACGATTTCAAGAATTAATTAATTAGTTATTATTTTCAAAAAATCAATTTCCACTAAATCTTCTTATAAGCTATCAAAATAATAATTTTCTTAGTAAAGATATTTTCCCTTCTTAAAGTGTTGAATGTAATTCATTCACACAAATTAGACCAAACAAGAAAATTAATAAATTTAAGATTCTTAATTAATCATAAAATCCTTGTGACTATTATATATATACAAAATGCATATACACGAATCGAATTTGGCCGACGGACGATCTCACGTTTTAAATGAACCATTGACTACACACGTGCAAGACTTAAAAACGGAAACGAAAAATGATCGAAAAGGAAGAAAATGATATTGTATTATATGCAAGAATGTTTGAGGAAATAAACAAATAAATTTAAAAAATGAAAAAAAGAAAACCTTAATATTGGGTTTTAAATGGTTGTGCCATCTTTCCCTACACTGCTTTCCAATTCTCCCAGGTAGCATTTGAGCTATGGTTGACCATTTTCTTACACCATGCTTCTCCACCAACTCCACCAACAACCTAAATATATTACATTAAATAAAATAAAAAATATTTAAGGTTAATAATAATTAAAATTAATTTTAAAAAAATTAAAAAAGAAAAATGAGAATCATCGATCATAAAACAAAAGTACCCATCTTCTTCAGGACTCCATTGGCCTTTAACAATTTCAGATTTCTTATCAACAACTCGTTTCCTCTTCGCCTGCTGCATAATAATATTCTTATTATTGACGTCATTATTAATAATAGCGTTCATCTTCTGGCTTGCATCGTCCACGTCAGCATTATCATCATTATCCACGTCACCACCGGACACCACCAAGCAAGAATCCTTGTCGAAGTATTTCCCATCGTTGTTCTGCAAATAACTCATGACATTCATCTGATGAAACTGATCCACTGTCTGAAACGAAGCCCTCGAGCAATCATAATCATCCAAGAATGTTTTACGCACGTGTGAATTATTAATATTAATATTAATATTAATATTATTATTATCTTGTGCCGGAAAAGGGGAGGAGAATTCTTGGGTGGTGTTCATCATCAACTTGCCGAAAGAAGAAGGTTGAAATGGATCAAAAGGGTCGTAGAAACTACTGGTGTTCGGGGCGTAGAAACCCGGACCCGGATTCCAGGATGATGATGAGCCGCCCATGACCCGACCCGAAGAACCGTGAGATGATGGAGGAGAAGAAGAAAAACCACCACCACCACCACCGCCGCCGCCGCCACAATCGTAATTATCCATTATTTGTGGTATGTAAGGAATTTCCTCGAAAACCTTGGAATAGAGACCAAGATTGTCTCTGTGTACTGTGTCGAAATCCATGCAGAGATTTACACACTACACTTTTTTAGTTTTTTAGAGAGAGAAAGTGAGTGAGAGAGAGAGAGAGAGAGAAGGAAAGTGGAAGCTATGAGGGAGTGTAATTTGCAGTGTAATAGCTTTATTAGTGAGAGAGAGAGAGAGTGGTGTATTATGAAAATGAATTAATTAATGATCGTCGATATTGGGGGCCAATCTGACGGTGAGGAAGGAGAGTGACTATTAATCTTCACAATATAATGGCGTGAAAAAAAGGAAATAGAAAAAACAAGAAGAAATTATATATGATTAGGTTTTATTGTTATTACTACTATTGTTTATCTCTTATGGCCCTTTTAGCTTACATCTTCTTGATGGCTGATTGACACGTGGCTCTCGTTCTGCTACCTTCCTCGTACGTTACAATCTTGCAAGTATATTTCTTCTATGTATGGTGATTTCCTAAAATACCCATCTTCAAATATGATAACCAGATTTTATTTGATTAATTTTGAAATTACTAAAATTTTACCCACAACGTGTATTTCAGATTTATTTAGCGTCTAAAAGTCTATGAGTTGGCACTGTTTAATGGGTGATAAATTCTATTTATGTCTTTAACATAATCATTCATAATTGAAAATTGAGAGCTTAAATTGAGGTTTGACTCTTGAAATGATAGCATTTATATAGTAATCAATTTCTCAGTTATGGGTTCTTACACCATCCGCTAACCTCGCCCAGCCTTTGACATTTTTCAAGAATTGATAAAATTTAATTCTTTTACTTATTTACCATCATTTGTCAGACACTTTATGGGTCATTTTTCAATTTCTTTGAAGTTAGAATCATGTTTTAACAACAAATATTTAAATATTTTTGTTGTTTTGCGTATCCAAAAATTCAGGATATGCCAATTCCCCGGTATGATCGTTTACATGTCCGTGCTACATCAAAATACATTACATCAGCTGTTGAAAATTTATAAGTTCAAATACAACATGAATTAGTTTCGAGCGATGTCCAGTTATCCATCGATTCCAACATATCGAAAATAAGTAAAACAATTGGAATAAAAATATAACTGTTCCAATAGTACAAGTCTATTAGTATCAATACAGAACACATTGTATGGCCAAAACTGATCAGCCTAAAAATTACTACATGAAAATTATATAAAAAAAATAAATATATGAATACCCCAGTCCCATCGGCAGCTAAATGTCACAAGGTATACTGAACAAATGCAAATCGGTTTTATATGAATGCTCAGAAATAAAGTTTTAAATAAAATTATAATGTCACAATTAACCGAATCTCTCAATGCTACGGCTACGGCTGCGAGGTTTCCATCCAGAAACCTTCTTAGGGCTTCTGCTGCGACTTCTACCTCTGTTCTCACTGAAGCTCTTACTATGGAAGCTTCCATTGCCATTTGTGCTGCTGTAATAAACAAAGCATAGAAACACAAATCTTCAACAAGCTTCATTTAAAACATTGATATATAGATATTGCAAAAAAGAGGAAATAAATTATACCCGTTGCTTCCATAAGATGAGGGAGGTCCCCAGTTACTCCCTCCCCCGTTTCTTGCACCGTATGAAGAATTGTACCGTCCACCACTACCTCCAGGTGGGCCCCCCCACTGACGTTTCCCCCTTCCCATTCCGCCACCACGAGACACCATGCTACGGAGTTCATTGGGTACAATTTGATTGGCTCCTTCCAAAAGTTTGACAAGCTCAGATGCATGCTTAGAGTCTTGGTCACCGAAAAATGTGTAAGCCTCTCCAGTGGCACCAGCTCGCCCAGTTCTTCCAATTCTGTGGACGTAGTCCTCTACTCCATTTGGAAAATCATAATTCACAACCACCCTGCCACAAGGGAGATACCACAGTCAAGATAAATCAGAACAAGCACAACATGTTAGCAAAAGCTTTTGGAAACTGATTCTGAGCTTTTCTTAATAAATTAAAATTAATAGTCACCAACCTTATATCCTTGATGTCAAGACCACGAGCAGCAACATCAGTGGCTACAAGCACTGGGGACCTTCCAGTGCGAAACTGATTCAACACGTAATCCCTCTCACCCTGAGATTTGTCTCCGTGAATAGCAGCCGCTCCAAATTGACGACTTAAGTTACCAGAGAGTTGGTCACACATTTTCTTTGTGGAGCAGAAAATAATTATCTTGGATCCTGGTTCTTGAGACCTCAATATCTGTTCCAGGCGCCTCCGCTTATCCATCGGTGACAAAACTTCAATATGCTGCCACAAAAAAGAACAAACAAATGAAAAGGTCAAAATTAAGGAATCTCAAAATGTATTATTTCAAGTAAAACACTTGAGATGAAACTATTCGACAATGTACCTGTGTTATAGCCTTGTTAGCTTCAAGCGCATCAACATTTCCAATATTAACCTGAACAGGGTTAACCAGTAAATCGGCAGCAATTCTGCGCACCTCCTTTGGCCATGTTGCTGTGTACATTAGCGTTTGCCTGCGAGAGGGTATCTCCTTCACAATTTTCCTAATCTGGGGTTCAAAACCCATGTCCAGCATTCTGTCTGCCTCGTCCAACACCAAGTATGAGATTTGATGGAGACTTATTCTTCTCATCTCCAGAATATCATTCAATCTACCAGGAGTAGCCACTACAATATCTACACCTCTATCTAGGTCTCTCAACTGAGGGCCTTTTGGAGCACCTCCGTATAAGCACTTCATCAAACAAAGATTAAAACTACAATCAGGCAGAAATCACAAGATTTACAGGAAAAAAATACGACACCAATATTCATCATGCATTTCTATGGTCTAAAGTGCTCAATTGAAATATTTTCTATTTACACCTGAAAAAATCAGATTGTGGCTCATTGGTTATTTATTGGACCCTTCAATATCTTTTTAGTTATTTTCTCTTTCTATTTTGTTCTAGTGAACTCAGACTTATCTTCTCATAACTCCAAGATTAAATTTACTGTTTAGGTGCAATATAGTTTGTTCATTTTGGTGATGGAAAGAAGAATATATATTTTTTTATGAGTGACAGGCCCCAGCTTTCCAGGAAAATTACCAGATACTCTAAGCATAACTCAAGGTATCAAAATATGCTATGGGGAAAATTTCGATATCTAATAAATAAACCCAGCATAACCCGGTCAGAAATTCATCCCATTCCCTGATGGAATCAACTGTATCACTTTTAGAAGCTGTTAACAGAATTATACCGCTTTTTACACCTAATAAGAGCTACTGAGAAGATATCTTACCGTGCATGATATCCTCGATGACCTTCCAAATTTGACAGCTTCAGCTTGTATCTGAGTAGCCAACTCTCTTGTTGGAGACAGCACCAAAACTGTTGGACCTAACTTTGGATTACTACGTCTTTCTTTAAGATGAAGAAAGCCAGGAATTAAATAACCCAAGGTCTTTCCGGAGCCAGTCTTGGCAATAGCTACTATATCCCGACCGTTTATAGCAATTGGCCAAGATTGCGCCTGTATAGGAGTAGGAGCAGAAAATCCAGCAGTTTGCACCTGTACAATGAAATAAAATCGCCCATAGCTTCATAAGCAGAGATTGGTTGTATATATCTGATTGGTTATTTTTGGACTGAAGCACGTGGCCAAGGAAAGAAGAAGCATCATCCCCCAATTATGTAAGCAATAGTAGGAGGACGCCTCTTCTTCTACTCGACCAAAGGACAGACTGAATTGCAACCAACATAATTCCCGCCCAAGCTTGGATGATTCGGAAAGCCCCTCAAACAAATTGGTCGACCAATAAGGGTGCTCCAAATACATGCAAGCCCGCACAGGAGGGTGGCACAGTGTACGACATTTGGCTCCTCCAGGAGCAAATATCGCACCTGATACAGAAAGTTCAGATAGAAAAAATTGAGCATGAGTTCTCAATCTCAACATTTGACTTCAGGTAGCATTTCAATATTTTGTAGGGTATTTAATTTGACTCACAATTCGGACTTGCAAATGTTTCAAGCACTTGAGATTGTACATATACAAATTAACTCATACCTCCCTGAGAATATCTGGAGGAAAACCGGTGGCTTCAAATGAGCTGAAAGGTTGAGGGACATTATCTCCCTAGAAAAATTAAGTAAGCAAATCAGTTAGAATTTACAAAGGTGATATGTAGGATAAAAGAACAAATATATATCATTACAGGAGAATAACAGAGTTTAGCACTAAAATAATTATAATCTAAAAGTTGCATAGATGAAATACTAAACATCTCTGAATAAAATTTCAACTATCTAAGAAGGGAGTATCGGCGAGTTAGAAGGAATCCCCACTTCACTCCAGAAAATCAAAACCAACATCATTGGGAAATCATCTATGTTAAATTTAATACAATACTGCTCAGAAATTGGATTCTACATGGATAACCAATTACTGGTCTCAACTCTTGAAGCATGAGAAACTCTTCATACAAAAGATGAGGCAAATATTGGAATTTTATCTGGGTTTAAACAAACAAAGCAGGCAGAGACTAGAAATCAGATTATGTATGCAATTAACAGAGGCTTACAGTTACAGAAATTTCATGCTGTCGACGATAAGACTCGGCAGACAAACTATTTTCCGCGCCTTTGGGAGCATACGTTCCATTTCCAACACTGGGGTGAACAACCACATGACCCTGTGAATAATCTGTTCTGCTTCTAGCAGTCTAACACAAAAAAGGGAAAGTTCATTTAGAAGAAAATATATGTACATCATGAAACAAGTCACCAAAAAAAATTCTGCTAAGTCCATAAACAAGAGTAATTAACTGCAGTGACATAATAAACAAAACAAAAATCAGTAAATGTTGATAAAGAAACATCGTAGACACCTCATAAGTTCCAGCTCCAGAAAGAATCTTTGATTTATCGTCATCATTATTGTCACGGCGTACTGCTTGGGGCGACTTTTGAACTGAGGAACTCACAAATTTGTGAAATGGTACAGAGGCAACAGGTTTCTCATATTGGGTTACATTTGTCTCCGGATTCCAGAAGTAAAGATATCCAGTCTTCTCGTCAACTAGTCCTTTCCATGGTTTTGGGAGGGTGGAGTCCTCAGGAGCATATTGTATACCAGCTGCGGCAGTTCCCATTTGAAAGCTGCAGTGTAGAATAATCTGGCATAAAATTGCAAATAATCCCAAAGAAAGGTAAACGAATGATCAGAAACCCATAGCAGAGTCATTTTTCTACCCAAAATTATCAAAATGAATACCAGAAACAAATCCCCAAACTACAAGATAATGAAAATATAGAATACATATAGACAAGCATATGTAATGGATGAGATTATCAATGATAAGATATTCTTCTTAACATGCTGTTAATTGCAACTTCCATGTTCATATTTAAGATTAATTATTTCCATTGGACAAATTGATGCTGTTCCTGAAAGCTGAGATACTCAGATAACTTGTACAATACCATTCTTCTCATTCATTAACCATTATTAGTACATACATAAACAGTAAACTTACATCCAAAATAACATGTAAGAACACCAATCCCTAATATATATATAATAGAATAATATACTTTTTAATCCAATTCAACTGTCATGAACTGCAAACAGAGTATCGAAATCGAGAAAAAAAAAACAGCATAAACATAAAATCCAGAAGCCGATAAAGCATAAGAAATTCGCACCAAAAAACCGGATCTGAAACCCTAAATAAAGTTTAGGGATGTTATTCAGAATTAGCACGCAACACTTAACCAATACACCTAGATCTAGAATAAGATACAAATCCTCAATAGAAAACACCGAACAAAATCGTAAAAATAAATTAGGTCAAGGACAGAAAATATACCGCACGGCGTCTTTTAGGCGAGAACAAAAAGAATCCCTTCACCGGATACAAACTTCCTGCTTTCTCTCTCTAAAATTAGTGATTACAAATTGAGTTACAGGTGTTTGTGCTATAAATAAGAGAGCGAGAAAGAGGAAGAGAGATGGAGAGATCTACGCTTCCGAGAAAACAGAAGCGTAGCAGAATGAAGAGTTAGAGCGGCGGGTGAATATATAGCCGCCAGGGTATGATTTACAATTATCAATGTAAATTATTTATTAACTGCGGTTAATAAAAGACCTCTTTTACTACGAAGTGTTGCTTCTTTTGACTATTTGATGGAACGAGTAATTAAAAAAAGAGTAAAAAGCAGTTTGCCTCCTAAACTATGGGCCGATTTGCACTTTACCCCCCAAACAAAAAAAATTTGCACGTTTTTACCTTAACTCGTTAATTCGTTGCACGGTGCCCCCTGAACTAAATTTTCCGGCAATTTTGACCGAAAAGTTAAAACATGTGCCTTGCACGTGACATTTGCAGGGGTATATTCGTCCATTCACTTACATCTTTAATATTAAATATAAATTATTCTTTAAAAAAACAAAAAAATATAAAAAATAAAAACAAAACAGAGAAAACAAAAAATAAAAAAATAATTTGTCTTCTTCCTTCTTCCCCACTTCGCCCACCGTGCCACCACCATCCCATTCCCCACTTCGCCCACCGTGCCACCACCATCCCAAACAGATCCCAGCCAAAAATTTCGGGGTGTTTGCTTTCGAGCTTCTCGAGGCCGAAGTACTCTCGGGCGACGGCGACGACGGAGGGGTCGAGCTCCCAGCCGTGGACGGCGGTTTGAGGGTGGAGTTCGAGGATGATTTTGGCGGCGGATCCGGCTCCGAACCCGAGTATTCCGACGGGTCCGGGCGGGAGGATCGGCGGCAGGGTGGCGAAGACGTCGTAGTAGGCGTTGGTGAGGGTTTTGAAGAGGAAGGAGATGCTGTGGATGTTGCCGGGGGCGTCGAGGAGGAGGAGCCTGGATCCGGCGAGTGGGTGGTCCGCCGCCCTGGATACTTGGATCACTCTGATGTAGTTGAATTTCGCCAGTATTTTGACGTGTTCGAATGGGATTCCGAGGTCGCCGCCGTCATCGTGCCGGGTGGCGGCGGCGGTGGTTTGGGGATTGGGTGACTGGGATTGGTGAGATTTGATTGGGAATAGGTCTTTGCCGCGGCGGTGGGTGGTGATGGCGGCGGCGAGGAGTGGAGGGGGAGGATTTGGGTGGTGGGGGTGTGAGAATGGAGGGTGGAATTGGGGGAAGATATGTGCTGCTGCTGCTAATTTCATTCTGAAGAAGAAAAAAAAAAACACTGAATAGCTTCAATGGCTCACATTTTGTAGAAAAGGGACAATGTTGGGAAATTGTATATAATAAAATTTGAGTTTGTGGTGAAAAGTTACGGCGGCGACACTTTGCAGGTTTCTCTCGAGGAAGGAGGAAGAGAGTTGCAGATTTTCCTTCTTATTTTCTTTTCTTTTATTATTATTATTGTTTATTTTATTTGTTTTTTATTTAATATGATGAATGTAAGGGAATAGACACTTTTGACCCTGCCAAACTCACGTGAATGGCATGTGTGTAAGATTCCGGTCAAAATTGCCGGAAAATAACATTTTTAGGGTACCGTGCAACAAAAAACCAAGTTTAGGTAAAAACGTGCAAAAAAAATTTGTTTGGGGGGTAAAGTGCAAAACGGATCATAGTTTAGGGGGTAAACTGCTTTTTACTCTTAAAAAAATCAAAATAAAATTTGTATTTACTTACCAAACAATATAAATTATTTGGAATTTCAATTTAATTGGGCTGGCCGAAAATAACACACAATAAAGCCTAAATCCCAAAAATGCTTAAGAGAGGTTGAAACCCTAAAAAGGCCCAAAATCCAAAAATACTTCAAAAAAATCATAAAGGCCCATCAATAAGTGGAGGCCCTAATAAAACGTCGTCGTATGTAACCTCAAAAGGATTGATTGGTTATTTAATAATTAGTACAAGAAAATTCTATTAGGCCCATCGGAATAACTAGCCCATAATCTTGTCATTATCATTAAACAGTATTTAGCGGCAATTTTATTATAGTCAACAAAAAGTTAATACGGTGTTTGCGCTGGTTTTGTAGAACCTACACCTACTAAAATACATTATGTAATTTTACACTATTGATTTACACACAATAATACACATCCATTAGTATATGTGTTTAGTGAGCAATTATTTATATAGATTTACAATTTAATCACATAATGTATTTTCATCAAGTGTAGGATTTCATAAGCTCGTGTGCACTTACAGGTGTGACGGTCTTATGAGCATGTTACCAAGTGGACAATTCCATAATTATACACATTAATTAATTCAAAGCACATGACTCTTGCAAAGACTTTATATGAATCAAATATAACATTATTTAATTAACTAATAAATGTTAATTACCACAGGCTTTTATATTTTATGTCTCTAGTCTCTAGTATGCACTAATTGAGGGAGAGAGGGCATATTCAATTTCTAATTAAACTGGATTAGTATTAAATAAAGTTGCATTTTCTCAAAATACTAATCATCAAGTATAATATTTGTTTTTGGTAGCCGGCCTACACATAACGTAGAAGTAACAGTTTAAAATAGTACATGCTGAATGATTTAATTAGTACTAAACTAATCCCATAATATATATCTTATTGAAAAACAAAAAGCCGATGTCGTTCCAGAGCCGTTGGATGATGGAATAACTAATAACGGTTTATGACGATGAACGAGAACGAAAACGACATTCACGTGTACTTACTCAATCATCGGCATCACATTGAGAATATAATCCCTTCTCCATGTCCAGTGGCGCTTTTAATGCATGGCTCTCCCCTTTTTGTTTTTCCCAAGTGTAATTAACCGAAAAACCCTGATTTAACGAATTTTGCTTTGCGTGAGAAGACGTCGTCGTATAAATATTTGTTTTATGATTTTATTTACTCTATTAATATTCTTAGTATCGGTCGGACATATTACAAATCATGTGAACCACTCCTGCCAAAATCTTTTGTCCTTGTCAACAACTGCTGGCTCAACAATTTCTCTAAATTCTCTATAATATTAATTTAAAATGATATATATACTTGCACGATGCTGGGATGTGATCTACAATCTGCTATTTTTTGTTTAATTACATTTCTGGTGTATATATATAAATAAATGGATAGAGAGATCATGATCGTTTATTGCAGTAATCATGAAGAGTATATATATATATATATATATATATATATATATATAACATTTTCTATTTCTTAACATGCATATTAATTAATTGATTAATTAATTAATTAATATATGCATATCAACCTCATTACACAACAGGAAATAAATAACTGAGAGTTGACATGGATTTGTTTGTACAAATTATACGCTAATCTTCTTACATTATTAATCTTCCAACCAACCACAATAATACTTCTAACCAACACATTCCAATTCCAAAGCTATAGTTTATCCTTTTCGGTTTGGATATATGATTAAAATTGACTATAATTTGTGCATATTAAATTTAAAAATAACTATTTAATTAATTTGAAAAGACAATTTTGGTAGTTTCTAGTGGATTATTATCTATACTATACGTACACACCAAACAAATAATATTAAAGTAGTCAATTTAGTAATAATTAATAAATCTTATATATAAAAGAAAGAAACGCTAGGGTAACCTAAGAAACCCTAATGGCATATTTGTAAAAATAAATTAATTTGTTTAAATATATTTTTTTTATTTCGTATTTTGCAGCATTTTTTTTCTAATTATTGTAACACCAAATTTCGGCTAACACAATCATAATTCACTACATCTATATTTTTTAAATTATTATTATTATTTTTCAGTCTTATCCACTACATCTATATTTTTTTAATTATTATTATTATTAGGTTTCACCCTATTTTTCCTAATAAAAAATATGCTTCATTTATTAATGATTCACAATTAAGTTTATATAGTTTTTCTTAATGAGTTTGTATTATTAAATATGTATAAATATTGATGTTGTTATCGATATCATTAATAAATTTTATTATAATTGTTATTATCATGTATTAAACTAATCATCATTTTCATTTGAAAATGTTATCCCGTGCATCGCACGGGGGAAAATTCTTGTTAAATTAAAACTAATAACAAATTAGAACTGTTCAACTTATGCATCCCATCAAACCAATATAAGAAGCACAAATACACCAACAAACAGAGACAAGATTACAAGTGTACAATAATAATGTTAAGTTTTAGAATTAAGATTAATGTTATAAGGTTCGTATTTTATGCTACGTTTCTTCTATGCCTTTCGTCGTTTGGTAACAATTCGATTTGCATTAGTGCTAAAACTAACAAGAACAGGAAGCAAGGAAAAACGACACCACCACCACCGGTGGTGGTGGTTAAAAACCAGAAAAGTGGCGGTGGTGGAACTATTAACGCCAGTATCAACGCTATTTCCACTGCCGGAGGTACCTTTAATGTACTGAAATACGGTGCTAAAGGTGACGGAATTGCTGACGACACAAATGTAAGTTTTTTTGTAGCTTATGTATGTCCTGTTAGTGATCGTTGTATCTCATATTCGTTTTATTTAATATTTGTCGTAATTAAAATGGATTAATATTATATATGCATATCAATTAATGGCAGGCATTTGGAGGAGCATGGGCAGATGCTTGCAAAGTGCAAGGCTCGATAATGTTGGTTCCGTCAGGGTCCGTTTTTCTGGTCAAGCCAATCTCCTTTTCGGGGCCTAATTGCATGTCGAATATCGTATTTCAGGTAATATTTTTTTCTCATTTCATTAATTGTATAAAAAATTATTTAAACTGATTATTAATTTATTGGCAGCTGGAAGGGAAAATAATTGCTCCAACAAATTCTGGAGCTTGGGGATCAGGGCTATTACAATGGCTAGAATTCACTAAGCTGAAAGGAATAACAATTAGAGGTAAGGGAATAATCGACGGCCAGGGATCCATCTGGTGGAAGTTGACTACAAATTCAGCCGTTGAATCGGAATCATCGTATCTTCCAAACTCGGTAATCAATTAATTAATTAATCACCCTTATATGCTATATTATTTTTCCAAATCGAAACTGATAAGTAAGAAATGATATTCGTGGCAGATAAATACCGAAGCGAATGGAGGAATGCCGAGCACCAAACCAACAGTGAGTAGAGAATATTATGATAAACCTTGTAATAATTAAATGAGGAATAAAATGAAATTAATAATTAGATGCCCTGTTTCGGATTTTCCAGGCACTTCGATTTTACGGAAGCACAGATGTTACAGTCACAGGCATAACAATACAAAACAGCCCACAAACACACCTTAAATTCGACGGTTGCACTGGCGTACAAGTATCTGGCGTTAGCATTTCATCGCCTGGAAATAGCCCAAACACGGACGGCATCCATCTCCAAAACTCCCAAAATGTTGTTATCCAGGCCACCACTCTTGCTTGTGGTAGTATTTTTTTTTAATCCCTCGTATTCGTAATTTTACTAAATATATATAAAAAAAAATTGAAGAATTAATATTGGTATTATTACATGTAATTGCAGGAGACGATTGCATTTCGATACAAACAGGCTGCTCCAATATTTACGTGCGCAACGTGAACTGTGGGCCCGGTCATGGTATAAGCATCGGTGGATTGGGAAAAGACGGAACTAAAGCCTGCGTTTCGAATGTTACTGTTCGTGACTCGATTATCCAAAACACATTGAATGGTATCCGAATCAAATCTTGGCAGGTATAATAAAAAAAAAAAAACTCTCCAATTAGAAATGTGACAGTTAAATAAATTACTATTTAAAATATATTCAAAGTATGATGAGATTGGAACGACGGGTGTACAATAGTCGCGAATTTATAATTTCGAAAATTCGATACTCGATCGTAATCAGTATTTTTTTTTTTCCGAACGCGATAGGGTGGTTCAGGATCGGTGAAAGGGGTACTGTTCGTAAATATTCAAGTCTCCGAAGTGGAAAATCCAATAATAATCGACCAATACTATTGCGACGGGCATAATAATTGTCCGAACAAGACATCGGCGGTTGCGATCAGCGGCGTATCTTATCAATCCATAAAGGGAACATACACAGCTAATCCTGTTCACTTGGCATGCAGTGATTCAATCCCATGCGCAGGGATAACTTTATCCACCATAGCCCTTAATCCGTCAACCAAAGGAGTTAAAAACAACAACAATAATCCTTACTGTTGGAGGGCATTTGGGGAAATCCAAACAGCTACTACTCCTCCTGTTAGTTGTTTGCAAAAAGGGGGGCCACCTAATAATAAACGGCCAGATGCTATTAGTGGTTATGTTTGCTGACGTAATAATTGTATAATTAGGGTAGAAATATGGTGTGGAAGCAAATTAAAGTTTAGTTTGGGATTTTGTGAAATTTATTTTGAGATAATAGAAATATAAATAAAGATTATTTAAATATTACAATTACTTTTAATTTTAATATATTAATTTCATATTGGATTTGATAATATTATATTGGTACCGTTAAAGGGGTAAAAAAGGTAAATCCAAACATTATATGACGGCACGGTCAAGATTAACACAATCCAATGGTTGTGTATATATATGTCGAATTGTTTGTATTAATGCAACATATTTAAATTATTTAATAAACTCTATTTTTATTATAAAAAAAATCATAAAATTCACACACAAAGAAGGTGCAATGGAAACATTTATACAAACATATGTTAGCTTTATTGTATGCACTTTATTGTATTTTACTTCTTCACATTATGCAATTTGTTACGGTAGAGAAGTCGATTATTCGAGCCGGTTTATTCGATCATCAGTAAAAAAATCTATTAAAGCTTCTTCTTTTGACGTAACAAGCTACGGTGCTAAAGGTGACGGAGAGACGGATGACACACCGGTAGATTTCACACGTTCAGAACTTAATTAATTAGCTCGTCAATAAAATTAAAAAAATAAATAATTACAAATCACTAATAATTGTATTTTTTTGCCCGGATAGTAACTTAATTTTGATTATTATTAATTTTATTACGTCGGCAGGCATTTTCGAAAACATGGGAAGCAGTATGCGGAGCGGCCGATATAGGGGTGATGTTGATCCCTTCGGGATATACCTTTCTTCTCAATCCGCCAGTACTTTTTAATGGAAGTTCTTGCCTATCCAATATTGTTGTCCAAGTAAATTTCATCTCCATATTAAACTACATAAAATTTATTAAAATTCAAATGAATTATTATTATTATTATTAAATGTAATAATTATAATTATTATTAATTTGCAGCTTGATGGGAAAATTGTAGCTCCAAATTACTCGAAATGGTCGAAAAACGATTTTCAGTGGATTCTATTCACCGGGTTGGGTAAGGGTATAACAATCCAAGGCAAAGGCGTAATCGACGGAGACGGTGCATCGTGGTGGAGCGGCACTGCTGACAGGCCAAACGTTAGTAAACTACCACTCACGTTTTTAGTTTAGTCCGATCCTTTCACGATTTTTAATTAAAAAACTAAACGTACGAATGTTCGACTTGATGATATGATTACGATGGTGTGTGTGCAGGCATTAAGGATTTCAGGTAGTTCACATGTGATTGTATCGGGAATAACGGTGCAAAACGCCCCTCGGATGCACATTTATATCGACACTAGCCAAGATGTTAGCGTGTTCAACATTACGGTGTCGTCGCCGGGAGACAGCCCCAACACTGACGGGATCCATTTATCGAATGTTCAACAAGCAGGAATTCACGACAACAATGTTGCTTGTGGTATAATAGCATTACTACTAACGTCGTACAAAGAATTTTAATTACAAATTTAACGAATTATCGTATTAATATGTAATATACGTCTATACAGGGGCGTACCCAAGGGTATGGTTGGGGTGGCCCCCCGCCCCCCAGAATTTTTTTTATTAACAACTTTTTTTTATTAGTTATTTATGTATTAGTTAATGCACTTTTGCCCCCTAAATTTTCAATTTTATACACTTTAGTTTATATAAAAAAAAATCTCTTAATTTACCCATATTATAGCACAAAAAAAAACCTTGGGTCCGCCCCTGCGTATATATATATTAATTACTTGAATATATATGCAGGAGACGATTGTATCTCGATACAAAGTGGAACCTCAGATGTGAAGGTAAGTAACTTGAATTGCGGACCTGGACATGGTTTCAGCATCGGAGGATTGGGATCGCCGGACGCAAAAGAAGCTCATGTTTCGGATATTCACGTTGCCGATTCTACGTTTACAAAGTCGCTCTACGGCGTCAGGATTAAAACTTGGCAGGTAATATATATAGCTCAACTGATTCTGGGGTGGTAAGTTGGTGCAGGGTCACTTATTTATATATATAGTCAAAATTAATAATTTTGAAATATTTTATTACAAACTCCGTACAGGACGGTTTCGGGACGGCGAAGAACATAACATTTTCGGGCATGACAATGAACGCGGTCGCGTATCCAATCGTGATAAACCAGGTGTACTGCAATGGTGCCCCCAGCTGCCCACCACCGAAAACTAAGGATGCGGTGGCGATATCGGAAGTGACGTACGAGGGTATAACGGGGAGCTACACCCAGAGGTCTGTTGACCTCGAATGCAGCGAATTCCAGCCCTGCAGACGTTTGACGTTCTCCGACATAAACCTAACGCCGTCGGGTTCGGTCGCCTCGGGTGTTAACGGCCCGAAGCTCGAACCTTATTGCGTCCACGCTTACGGCAGTGTGCTTACCGCCACTACGCCTTCGTTGACTAATTGTGTCCTGCCGGAAACCGCTAGTCGAGTCAGTACCCTGCCGCCTGCAATGGCGCCTAAATAATTAACTGAAAATAAATAAAAATGAAAAAAAATGCTACAGTTTAATAAAAGTTGCATTTTATATTATTATATATATTATATATATAAATGTATACTCTTTAATTATTACATCAATTTCTTGAAATTATTAAGTGATCAATTTTTACCTCCTTAATTAAGTGGTAATTATCATCGATCTTATCTAGAAGTAAATTATTTATAACTTCAATTGTCTTGAAGCAAGTTTAATTATTTGGATAGATCAATGATCAATCCAATTACTTTAAATATATTTCAATAGTTTATGGAATGAATGTAATTAATTAATTAGATGTAATGAATTTCGACCATTAAAGAAAAAAAGAAAAATAGAAGGTAAGTTCAAACAATATTATTCAATAGTATAGTCAAAATTAACATATATAAATGGTTAGTATGAGTTGTCAATGTTTTGTTACTTGAAAATTCAATTAATTACAAACTTCTTAGTCAACAACTATAGAAACTTTAGTAACTGCAGATGATCATATTTCCAAAATCTTAATTATATACACTCTATTTTCTTGTGAATCATATTTTCATCTCCCTATAAATAATTCCAAATTCTTGCATAACAAAATAACATTGGAATATAATATAATACAAAGTGCAATGGAAACATTTCTACAAACATATGTTAGCTTTATTATCTGCACTTTATTGTATTTTACTTATTCACATAACGCAATTTGTTACGGCAGAGAAGTCGATTATTCGAGCCAATTTACTTCATCTTTACTAAACAACTCCATCAAAGCTTCTTCTTTTGACGTGCGAAGCTATGGTGCGAAAGGTGATGGAGTTACTAACGACGCAGGGGTAATTTTGACACTTTCAAAAATCATATGTAGATAATTAATAATTATTTGTACTTACTTACAAAACTACATTATTTTTAATTATTAATTTAATTTGACAATATATAAGAAAAATTGCAATTTATTATTTCATTTTGTTACGGCAGGCATTTCAGACAGCATGGAATGCAACATGCAAAGTGAATGGAGGAGTGATGATAGTCCCTTCAGGATATACCTTTCTTCTCCAGCCAATAACTCTTAATGGAAATTATTGCCAATCGAAAGTTGTTGTCCAAGTAAATTTCATCGATCTCCAAACTTCGAATTGTATACGAAAATTTTATTGAAAAATTCGTGTCAATTTATTATTATTAATTTATTTATTTAATTTTGGCAGATTGATGGGAAAATCGTGGCTCCAAATAAACCGCAGTGGTCAAAAATCGATTTACAATTGATTTTATTCTCGGGGATGGGTAAGGGTATAACAATCCAAGGCAACGGAGGCACAATCGACGGGCGCGGTGACTCTTGGTGGAGCGCTGGTGGGAACAGGCCACACGTTAGTACACTATAATTAGTTTTCCTAATTTTCGTATTCTTTTTTTCGGAAATAAATTTTTTAATTAGTCTTTTTTCACCATTTTAATTAAGGGAACCTAATTATTCGACAATTGGATAATGATGATGCATGCAGGCATTGAGAATAGTGGATAGTTCTAACGTGACGGTAACCGGAATAAAGGTCCTAAATGCGCCCCGAATGCACGTTTTTATCGACAATAGCCAATATGTCCACATCTTCAACGTCACCGTTTCGTCTCCGGGCAATAGCCCCAACACCGACGGCATCCATTTAACACATGCTCAGCACGTGGAGATTTACAGCAGCAATATTGCTTGTGGTAGTTTTTCTTTTTTCAACTCACCACGTCAAATAATTAATATTTCATTACCATCTTAAATTTTCAAATAATTATATATATAATTAATAGTTGACGAATTAATTAAGTAATATAATATAATATTGAATTTATATTGAATCTTGCAGGAGATGATTGTATCTCAATACAAACTGGAAGCCAAGATGTGAAAATACATAATGTGGACTGTGGGCCCGGACATGGTTACAGCATCGGAGGATTGTCGGCGAACAAGACAGAATCTCAAGTTTCAGATATTAGTATTTACGATTCTACTGTATCGAACGCGCTCAACGGCGTCAGGATTAAAACTTGGCCGGTAATTAATTAAAACTAAATCCTCACTAATCCTTCACTAATCCTTACTACCTATTTATATACCATTCATTATTTTTCTCACTTTTCTCCAAAAATTAAATTATGTTATATAAACTCTTCCAATTAGACCTCAAATAAGCAAACGTTGATTTAGTTAGGTTTTAAAACTTAGGGTAAATTACAATGAAAACCCCCCTCATTTTACCATAATTACATCCACTCCCTTCAGTTTGTAGATTTCTTGCATTACTATATTTTTTTTAGGGGTGGATGTAAGAAATTTAAAAATTGCAGGGGTCTATATGTAACCTCTCAAACAATAATGATTGTTTTTTGTAATTATACTTTAACTCAGGGTGGTGATTGTAATTTACTCTAAAACTTAAGAATAAATTAACAAAACAAGAACATTGGACTAGGCCCGCTGATTTTAATTTGTGCCAAA